GCCCCCCGCCCTGCCCGTCCCGCCCTCCCCGAGGTCCGTTCCCCCTCAGTGTCCCGGTTCCCCTCAGTGCCCCCCGGTTTCCCCTCCCCGCTCACCCGGTGCTCGCCGCCGCCATGGAGACGCGTCGCGGCGTGATGACGCAAAGGCGGGCGGCGCCGGGTGATTACGTCACGTTGCCGTGGAGGCCGGGACGCCGAAGGGGCGGGATGGCCGAGGTGGGACTGGGAGAGCCGGGAGGGACTGGGAGGGACTGGGAGGGACTGGGAGGGACTGGGAGGCGGTGAAACAGAGCAGAGCGGGCGGGGGTTGGCTGGGAGGAGCTGGGGATGCTGGGAGGCACTGGGCTATACTGAGATGTACTGGGCTATACTGGGATGCACTGGGATGTACCGGGCTATACTGGGGAGGCATGCTGAGGTGGGCTGGGATGTACTGGGCTATATTGGAATGAGCTGGGGGCCGTGCTGGGGTGGGCTGGGAGGCACTGGGCTATACTGGAATGCACTGGGATGTACTGGGCTATACTGGGGAGCCATGCTGGGGTGGGCTGGGAGGTATTGAGCTATACTGGGATGTACTGGGATGAGCTGGGGGTCCATGTTGGGGTGGCCTGGGAGCTACTGGGCTATACTGGGCTGCACTGGGCTACACTGGGATATACTGGGGTGTACTGGGATGAGCTGGGATGCACTGGGCTACACTGGGATGAGCTGGGGAGGCATGCTGATGTGGGCTGGGACGTACTGGGTTATACTGGTGTGCACTGGGATGAGCTGGGATGTACTGGGATGAGCTGGGAGGTACTGGGCTACACTGGGATGAGCTGGGGAGGCATGCTGATGTGGGCTGGGATGTACTGGGCTATACTGGGATGCACTGGGCTATACTGGGGAGCCATGCTGGGATGGGCTGGGAGGTACTGAGCTATACTGGGATGTATTGGGATGAGCTGGGGGTCCATGCTGGAGTGGGCTAGGAGGTACTGGGCTATACTGGGATGCACTGGGATGTACCGGGTTATCCTGGGATGTACTGGGCTATACTGGGATGCACTGGGATGAGCTGGGAGGTACTGTGCTATACTGGGATGCACTCGGATGCACTGGGATGAGCTGAGGGGCCACGCTGGGCTGCGGGCCGTGTACTGGTCCGTACTGGGGCGCACTGGGCGGCCCCGCCGGGCAGCGGCAGCCGCGGGTGTGTCTGTCCCGCGCAGAAAGCGAAGCCCAGCGGGTCCGGCAGCAGATCGAAGCAGGACAAGTCCCGAACGCCGGGCCGGGCCGAGCCGCGGCAGTCCAAGAAGGGAGCCTCCCGAGGCTCCGGGCGGACCGAGCCCGCCGTGTCCCCGGACGCCGAGCCCCGGGAGCCGCTGGATGTGGGGCCCATCCTGGACGAGCTCCTGGAGCGGGTCCTGACCGAGAGCGCGCAGGCGGCCGTGGCTCGGCAGGTGAGAGACCTCTCCCCTCCCCGATTTGGGGAGGTTTTGGGGGGTTGCGGGTTGCGGGCGGGCTCTCAGCGCTGTGCCCGCAGCGGGTGCCCTTCGCGGTGTCGCGGGCGCGGGATGCCATGCTGTTTGTCGCGGAGTGGCGCTTCCTGGTGAGGGACGACGAGGACCCGGACCCCGAGGGGGACCCGGACCCCGAGCGGGACGGAGTCTGGAAGGAGGACGAGGAGCCCCCAGCCCACTTGTGGGACTCGTGGACACCGGGCGTTATCCCCGTCGTGGACGTCTCTCTGCCCTCGGAAGAGGTGAGAGGTTCCCCGAGCCCCCGGAACCCCCCGGGCCGTGGGACCCGCGGTGTCACCCACAGCGGGTCCCCTCTGTCCCCGGCCAGGACCTGCCCGAGGATCTCTCCGTGGCAGCCGAAATTCCGCCCGTGCGTCCCGGCGAGGTCCCCGGCGCTGCTCCCGCCCGGGATGTCCCTGTGTCCCCCGGGCAGGTCCCGTCCGGAGACGTCCCCGTGGCAGCTCACGCTGAAGGTCCCCTCGGCCAGGACACAGCCCTGGGTGTCCCTGTGCCCCCGGGCCAGGTGAGTCGTGCCCCGATCCGCCCTTCCCGAGACCCCTCGGGCTGAGCCCCAGCCCGGTGTCACCCCACGGGGGCCCCGACACCCGCACCGACACCGGGTCCGTTCCGCCCGCCGTGCCAGCCCCGCTCCGCAGCCGCCGCAGCTCCTCCCAGGCCACGACAGCCCCGCCGCAAGCCAACCATGGCTCCCCAGCCCCCCAGGAGGGGCCGCCAACCCTCCCGAGCCCCCGAGAGGAGCCTCCGACCCTCCCGGCCCCCGCGGCCCCGGGCGGCCCCGCCGGCCGCGCCCCGGCCCCCGGCTCCGCCACCGGCCGCGCCCTCGGAGCCCGCGGCACCGGCAGCGCAGGAGCCCCGCGAGGGCACGGCGAAGGTCGGCGACCAAGAGGCACGGCCGCCATCCTCCTCCTCCCTCTCCAGCGTGCCGTCCATCCAGCCGCGCAGACCCTCCCGCAGCCCCGGCGTGCCCAGGCTCGGTGCCCGGCGCGGTGCCACCCGCTGGGTGCTGCCCGAGGTCAAGGTGGTGGACGCGAGCGGCGAGCCCGAGCGGGGGCGGGCGGGAGCCTCGAGGAGCCGGTTACTCCTGCCGGGATCCGTGCAGGTGCTCCCGGGAGCCGGGCGGGTCCCCAGGACCGAGCCGCAGCTCTGTGACCCCTGGCTGGCCTCGGTCCGCCTGGCACCCGGTGTCACCGTGCGCTGGGGCGGCAGCGAGCGCCGCGGGCCGGCCCTGGCGGGGCACGGCGACGACGAGCAGGGGGAGGAGGCCTTGAGGAAGGCGGAGGACGACCTGAAGCCCATCCTGCCCTACCCGGAGTGCCGGCTCTCGGAGTACAAAGAGTCAGAGGAGGAGCCGGAAAACCCGCTGGGAGCGCGGCAGCTCCCGGGGGCTGTCCCGGCTCCGGACGGATCCCCGTCGCCCCGGGTCTCGCCGGTACCGGAGCTGGCACCGGGCGTGGCACCGTGGGACGCTCCCGGAGCTCGGGGCTCTACGCTAGCGCTCCCGAAAAGAACAGAAGTAAATAAAAAGATTTAAAATGAGTTTTGCGGAGCCGGCCGTGCCACCGGAGCCGGGCGGGAGCACCGGGCGCTGCGCCTACGGTGCCACCAGCGCCCGGACCCGCACGCGGCTGGTCCCCGCAGCCCCTTTGTCCCCAAAAGAGGAATAAGGGCGATGTGACGGGGGTGACACGTGTGGCTTCGCCCCGGGAGATCCCGTTCTGGGGAACGGAGCCGGCCCGGAGCCTCCTCTGCCTTCCCGGGCGCAGCTCGGGGTCCCTCGCTGGGACTGTCCCCGCCCGCTGGGCCATCCCACAGGGACGTGCTCCGGTCCTGCAGTGTCCCCGCACTGCCCGAAGGGGACTTTGGTGGGCATCGCCCCTCCTGCAGCCGCCCCGGGGCTGCAGGGAGTCCGAAGTGGCACCGGCGACACCGAGGCGACACCAAGGACAGCGGCATGACACAGGGAGCTTTACCTCTCCCCCGAGTTGCATTTATAGAGACACTCATTAGCATTGATGAGTGGGCGTGGTTTCATTCATTAGCATGAGATGCCGTGTTTTTCAGATAGTTTCGGCACCAGGTGAAGCCTCGGGGGATTTCGGTCCCTCATTAGCAGAGGATGATAGAGTGGGCGTGGCTTTCATTCCTAATTAGCGTGAGGCTGGTTTCACCACTCGGGTCTTAATTCAGCGCTCATCGAGGGTCCGCTCTGGCGGCCCTACAAAACAGGAAACCCCAAACTCAGGCCCGCCCTGGATGTCCCTCTGCCCCCGGACCAGGTGAGACGTGTCCCGATCACCCCATTTGTGACCCCATTTTTTTTTTTTTTTTTGCGTGGGTGCACTTCCTCCCGCGTTACTCAACACCACAAATTGAGGTGCAAAATATCGTTTGGGGTCCAGCCTGGGCGGACCGGCAGAAATCGTTGGTGGAGAAAATAAAAAAAAAAGCCCGTGTGGTTTTACAGCACCCACAGCTTATTAAGAGCAGTAAACGAGCTGTCATTTCCTGACAGGGTGGCACTGGGGACAGTGTGGTGGCACAGGCGACACGTGGCTCACCCTCCTGCCTGCTCCAGACACTCTGCTGTCCCTGCTCGGCTGCCAGCGGCTCACGGAGCAGAGGGACTCGTGCCGTGCCGTGCCGTGCGGTGCCACCGGCCGGGCAAAGGTCCTGCTGTGACCTCTGTCCCCAGCCCCACCCCGCGCCCGGCCATGGAGCTGCTGGGGGCTCTGAGCCCCCCGGGGTGGCTCCTGCTGGCCCTGCTGCTGGCCCTGCTGCTCTGCGCCACGCGAAGAAGCCCCTGGGATCCCCGCAAGTGTCCCACCGACCTGACGGGCAAGACGGTGATTGTCACCGGAGCCAACAGCGGTGAGCGGGGGCGGGGACACGTGTGTGGGTGGTGGCATCATGGCTGAGCGGTGACCTGCAGGGGACACGGGTGTCGCTTTGCCAGGGCCCCAGTCCCTGCTTTGGGAGTGCAAATGGCTGCAGAAGAAGCTGGTGGCCATCCCTGGGCACTCACAGTGTGCTCCCGGTGCCCCCTGCCCACCTCGCGAGGCTGGACTCGGACTGTTAGTGACTGATGGACAAGGCCACCATGGCCACCATGTCACACCAGGGATGGGGTCACTTCTCCCACCTGTGTTCCACTGCCATGTGCTCGGGCTGGCACTGCTGGAGACCCCCAGGCTGGGATTGGGATACCCACACGTGCCCAGGGACAGAGTGACCCCGCACGTGCTGGGCTCCATCCCCTCCCCAGTGCCCATCATTTCCTGCTGGGTGGCTTTAAATTTTTAATTTAATTTTAAATTTTTAATTAGAAAACTCAACATTTTTTTCTATACCGTTTTTCATAGATATCTGGAATATTACTTTACCACTTTTCTATACTGTTAGGAGTTAAATTTGATTCTGAGAAAAACAACATCCATACACCTTGCTTAAACCACTATTTAGGAGTATTTTATGACCAAATCTCTCTTAATATTCAATGAGTATGAGTGCAGGAATGCAAGACAATGCTCAGCTGTTAATGAGTCCTTACTCTTACATTTAAAGACTAAAAAAGCTCCCATCAGATACCCAGAGAAGACAATGCTATCACTTACTAAAACTTAAGCGTAACAATCCCAAAGAAAACACAACCCAGGGACAGAGTGACCCCGCACGTGCTGGGCTCCATCCCCTCCCCAGTGCCCATCATTTCCTGCTGGGTGGCTTTAAATTTTTAATTTAATTTTAAATTTTTAATTAGAAAACTCAACATTTTTTTCTATACCATTTTTCATAGATATCTGGAATATTACTTTACCACTTTTCTATACTGTTAGGAGTTAAATTTGATTCTGAGAAAAACAACATCCATACACCTTGCTTAAACCACTATTTAGGAGTATTTTATGACCAAATCTCTCTTAATATTCAATGAGTATGAGTGCAGGAATGCAAGACAATGCTCAGCTGTTAATGAGTCCTTACTCTTACATTTAAAGACTAAAAAAGCTCCCATCAGATACCCAGAGAAGACAATGCTATCACTTACTAAAACTTAAGCGTAACAATCCCAAAGAAAACACAAAAAGGAGAAGAGCGAAGGAGGAGTGTTATGGAGGACACAACACAGATGTTTTCAAGCCTTCAGCTTTTGGACATAAGTATATCTTTGCAATACCAATATTCACATATATTTTGCCAGCACATAAGTCTGCTATTGGCCAATCAGCCTGGAACACACCAGCCTGTTGACACAACTCAAGAAAAGTGTATTTCAGGGCAGTGTGTAAATGGACCAGATTTCACTGCTCCAGTCATAACAAGAACCTGTGTTTCCCACTGTTGGGCTGTGGCAGGGGCTGCCCAAACCTCGGGGACACAGTGGCATGGATTCCCAGAGACCCCTTGCCAGGGATCAGCCTCTCCACATCCCGCAGGCATCGGCAAGTGCGTGGCCATGGACCTGGCACGCCGCAACGCCCGCACCATCCTGGCGTGCCGGAGCCGGGAGCGGGGCCAGGCGGCCATGGAGGAGATCCGGGCGCTCACCGGGAACCCGGCGGTGCTGCTGAGGCTGCTGGACACCGGCTCGCTGGCCTCGGTGCGCGCCTTCGCCGGCGCCGTGCTGCGCGAGGAGCCGCGCCTCGACGTGCTGGTCAACAACGCCGGCGTCACCGGTACGTGCCAGGCAAAACGAAAACCCCTGCAGCCCCAAAGGGGTCCAGCGCCCCGTCCCCATGGAGTGCCCAGCTGTGGGGGTTCTATCTGGGTTTGTTTTGTCTGGGTTGGGATTGAAGGCGCTCGAGACAGTAGTTCGTGTTTGGACTTGGGTGTTTGTTATTTCTCATCAGTTAAACAGTCTCACTACTGTGAGTTCAGCAGCTTGTCGTTAGAAGGCACAGAATGGCCAACAATCTCGTTACAAGGTCTTTGAACACTAAACCATCCAATTAAGAACTGACACCTAGATTGTTTCCCCTTTTAACCCAATAATTGATACCAAAGAGCCCCCAATGAGGATTTTTCTGCTCAATTACAAAATGCCATCCAAACCCATGAAGAAGAAGCATGAAGAAGAAGCCCAGGACAACACCCTGTGCCCTCCATCTTGCTCCCATCCACAACATACTAAACATCCCAAAACCTAAATTCCCACCTAAGTGACACACCTACACTGCTCTCTATAATCTATTTCACGCTTTTGTGGATTCTGGTCTACCTTCTGGGAATCTTTCTCCATGGATGAGTCACAGTCAGTGCTCCCCTGGGGGTCAGGGCACCCCAGAGCAGACAGAGAAATATTCCCAGTGCCCTGGATTTCCACACCCACCCTCCTTTCAGGTTTGCCCTTCGCCATCACGTCGGAGGGGTTGGAGCAAACCTTCGTCACCAACTACCTGGGCCCGTTCCTGCTCACCAACCTGCTCCTGGGTGAGTGCAGGGGCTGGGGGAGTCAGGGGGGCTCTGGGGACTCCTCCTCGCTCACCCCCTGCTTGGCACAGACCTCCTGAAGGCCTCGGCGCCCGCCAGAGTGGTCAACGTGTCGTCGTTCCGGCACAGCGTGGGCACGGCCGACAGCGGGTACCTGACGGGGCAGCGGCGCCCGGGCGGGCACGACGCCGCCTACAACAGCACCAAGCTGATGAACGTGCTCTTCACCGCCGAGCTGGCACGGCGCCTGCAGGGCACAGGTGGGTGCTGGGCCGTGCCGGGCTCAGCCGTGCCCCGTGGCTCCCTGGGGACACCCCCTGTCCCAACTCGCTGTGCTCCCGTGGCAGATCCCGGGGGCTGCCGGCAGAGCTGGGGGGTCTGACACGGGTTAGAAACTCGCTGGGAACCCCCAAGGGTGGCAGAGCCCAGGCTGAGGTCAGGCTGGGGGCTGCTCCTGCTGCTCTCCCCGAGGGATTTGGGGACCCTGCTGACGGTGTGGCCTGGCAGGGGTGACGGCCAACGCGCTGAGCCCCGGCGTGGTGAGCACCAGCATCATGCGCCACTTCAGCTGGGCCATGCGGGCGCTCTTCGTCCTCCTCCGCCCCTTCATGAAGGTGAGCGGGGCCGGGTCCTGCCCGTGCCGGGGGCAGCGGGGTGGGTGGGTGGCAGGTGCCAGACCCCTCCTCACCCCCGTTCCCCCGCAGTCGGCAGAGCAGGGCGCTGCCAGCACCATCTTCTGCGCCGTCTCGGAGGAAGCCGCGGGCATCAGCGGGAAATACTTCGACAGCAGCTGCCGGCTGGCGCTGCCCTCGGCGGCCGCCCGCGACCCCGCGCTGGCACGGAAGCTCTGGGAGGCATCGGAGCGGCTCACGGGGCTCACGGAGCAGGACTGAGCCACCGGGATGTCACCCCTCAGCGCGGGAAGGGGGACACGGACGCCGCTCTGCTCCCCCTGTGCTGCCCAGGGGACATCACGGCGCCGGCCAGCTGTGACTGTGACGCTTTTATTAAAAACCCCAGCGCTATTCCCAGGTGATGTCCAGGTCCAGCCGCTGCTTCCTCACGGCCTGCAGGAAGCTGTCGTAGTCGCGCCGGTGGATGTCGGGGCAGCGGGACAGCTCCAGGCGCCGCAGGGGCCCCTCGGAGCCCAGCAGCTGCCACACGGTGCCGGGGGACACGCGGCTCTCGGCCAGCGACAGCTCCCGCAGCTCCCGCAGCGCCGGCCCCGCCAGCGCCGGCTCCAGCACCGAGTCCAGCGGGAAGGGCACGGCCAGCAGGCGCAGCGTCTGCAGCCGCGGGGCCGCGCACAGCAGCGAGGCCAGCGTGGAGCTCAGCACCGGCCCGTGCGCCGCCGGCACCGGCCCGGCCAGGCTCAGCGAGAAGCTCTGGAGCCGGGGCAGCCCCCGGGGTAGGAGGTCGGTGGCCCAGCGTGGTGGCGGGGCGGGGGGCTCCTCCTCGGGGGGCTCGTGGTGGGCGTGGGGGTCTGGCGGCACTTCCAGCTCGGCGCTGAAGCTCTGCAGGCCGGGGCAGCTGGCGAGGAGGGTGGGCAGCGAGAGAGGGTCCCAGCAGCTGAAGCCGTGCAGGGTCAGGGCGCGCAGGCGGGTGCCCAGGCCCTGTGCCAGGGGCAGCACCTCTGCCAGCGCCCGGCCGTGCCGCCCGGAGCAGCCCAGCGTCACCCGGGACAGGCACTTCCAGCCCGGCAGCTCCCGCAGCCCTGAGGGGCCGGGACTGTCCCCCAGCCACACGCTGACCTCCTCGGCTTGGGGACACACGGCGTGGACGGTGCCCAGCGCGTCCTCTGCCACCTCCTCCAGCTGCCGCAGGGGCAGCGTGAGCGGGGCTCCCTCTGCTGCAGCCCCCCGGCCCCGCGCCAGCTCCTCCAGCGAGGGGAAACCCTCGGAGTCCTCGGTGCCGTCCAGCTGCCCCGAATGGAGCAGCCCGAGCGCATCCGGCAGGGCGCCGTGTGCCAGCACCTCCAGGCACGGCAGGGCCAGCAGCAGGAAGGCCACGGCAGCCACCGTGTCCCCGTCCCCGGCGTGCTGCAGGTCGCGGGCCAGCAGGACGCGGAGCGTGGGGCAGCCGGGGCTGCGCTCCACGGGGTCGTAGCCCAGGTGGCGCAGGGCGCGCGGCGTCACCTTCTTGCAGCCGGACACGTCGAGCTCCCGCAGGTGGTGGCAGCAGGAGCCCACGGCCGAGAGCACCTGGATGTTGGCCTGGGTGTGGGCCAGCCCCAGGCGGCTCAGGCGGGGCAGCCCCTCGGCCAGGTCCACCAGCACGGAGGGCGAGAGCCGCCCGCAGCCGCCCAGGTCCAGCACACTCAGGCCCTGCAGACACACGGGGAGACCCTCAGTGGGGCGGGCAGGGGGGCACGGATGCCACTCTCAGCCCCTGCAACTCAAGACTCAGAGAGGGTGGGCAGGCCCTGTGTGCTCCCCCTGTCCCAACCCCTTGGCACACGGATGATGGCACCCCCAGCCCCACTGATGGTGGGCATCCCCAGCCCCATGGATGGCGAGCGCCCACCCCAAGCTCTATCCCCCTTACCCCATGGAAAGTGGGCACCCCAAACCCCACAAAGGATGAGCACCTCTGTCTCACTCTCCCATCCCCTAGAGGGGGTCACACCCAGCCTTACTCCCCCTGCCCCATAGACCATGGCACTCCCAGCCCTGCTCCCCCAAAGTGTTGTCAGCCCCTGCCCCACGGATGGCAAGCACCCACTCCAAGCTCTATCTGCCCTATGGGAAGTGGGCACCCCCAGCCCTACAAAGGATGAGCTGCCCCACTCTCCCATCCCGTTAGAGAGGGTCACACCCAGCCTAACTCCCCCTGCCCCACAGCCCTGCTCCCCCAAAGTGTTGTCACACCCTGCCCCATGGATGGCAAGCACCCACCCCAAGCTCTATCCCCCTTACCCCATGGAAAGTGGGCACCCCAAACCCCACAAAGGATGAGCACCTCTGTCTCACTCTCCCATCCCCTCAGAGGGTGGTCACTCCCCCTGCCCCACGCACCGTGGCACTCCCAGAGCGCTGTCACCCCCTGCCCCATGGAGGGTGGGCACTCCCAACCCCACAGACGTCACTCCCCGCCCCGCTCTCCCTCTCCCAGCCCATGCCCTCTGCCCACCTGGCAGCGCAGCACGATGAGGTGCCCCAGGGCGTTGTTGGCCAGGGCGGGGCAGGCCCGCAGGCTGAGCTGCCGCAGGTGTGGCAGTAGCAGTAGGTGCAGCGCCGCCCGCGACAGCCGCCGGCTCGTCCCCAGCAGCTGCAGCAGCTCCTGCACCAGCCCGCAGGCTGGGGGGGAACAGGGGGGTCAGCGAGGCCCGGGACCCCCCCTGCCCCTCACAAGGGGGTCCCGGTGGCCTGACGCACCCCCCGAGCTCACCCAGGTCGTTGAAGGGCCCCACGAGGAAGCGGAACTCGTACTCGTCCAGGTAGTTGTCACTGTAGTCCCTGGCCCAGAGGCTCTGCATGTGCTGGGCCAGGCTCTGCAGGCACAGCGCGGTCAGCGCGGGCACCGCCCGCCGCCGGGGCATCCCTGCGCGGGGACAGGGACAGGGACAGTCAGGGACAGCCAGCACAGGTACTGTGCCACCAGGGCATCCCTGTGCAAGGACAGGGACAGTCAGGGACAGCCAGCACAGGTACTGTGCCACCAGGGCACCCCTAGGGGGTGGGACCTAGGGACAGGGACAGCCAGCATGGGCACTGCCCGCCACCGGGGCATCCCTGCACAGGGACAGGGACAGTCACGGAGAGCCACCATGGGAACTGTCCACTGCCAGGCCATCCCAGGGACAGGGACAGTCAGGGACAGCCACAGGGCACCACTGGGGGGATGGGACACTCAGGGACAGGATGGACACCGCCACCCCTCACAGCCCGACCTCATTTTGGGGTCACTTGCCCCAAACTGCCTTGGAAACCACCCGGTGCTGGTGCCGGTCTCACTCCGTTCCCGGCGGGAATAAACCCGGGAATTATCCCGGGAATGAACCGGCACCGGGTACCGCGGTTCCCGGCAGGCACCGGGACACCGCGACGGGATCCCTCGGCTCCGGGAGTTATCCCGGGCTTAACCGGGACAGGGGACGCCCGGGCGGTGGCGCTGGCTCCGGTGCGCCTGGAATTCGGCAAGGAACCGATCCCGATGGGATCGTGAGAGCCCCAGCCCGACAGCAAATCCCGCTTTGGATTCCCCAGGAAACATCCCAGTGCAACCAGTGGGGAGGGGAAGGGTGACTGGGATGGGAGAGGGGCTGGAAGCTGGAGAGAGGGAGGTGGGAGCACGGGGAGAGGGAAAAAAATCTTTAAGGACCAGGGAAAGGTTCTTGGAGATGGGAAAAGTGATGCAGGGATTGGGAAAAAGTGGAAAAATGGAGGAGACCCCCGTGAAATGGGGAGAGAGCCCTGGGAAATGGGGGAAAAACATGGGAAATGGGGAAAAAACACCTGGGAAATGGGGAAAAAACACTGGAAATGGGGAAAAAACACGGGTAATGGGGAAAAAACACGGGTAAAGGGGAAAGAGCCCTGGGTAATGGGGGAAAAACACGGGAAATGGGAGAAAAAACCTGGGAAATGGGGAAAAACATGGGAAATGGGGAAAAAAAACCTGGGAAATGGGGAAAAAAACCTGGGAAATGGGGAAGAAAAACCTGGGAAATGGGGAAAAAAAACTGGGAAATGGGGAAAAAAAACTGGGAAATGGGGAAGAAAAACATGGGAAATGGGGAAAAAAACCCTGGGAAATGGGGAAAAAAACCTGAGAAATGGGGAAAAAAACCCTGGGAAATGGGGAAAGAACCTCAGGAAATGGGGAAAGAACCCCGGGAAGTGGGGAAAGAGCCCTGGGTAAAGGGGAGAAAACCTGGGAAATGGGAAAGAGCCCTGGGGAATGGGGGAAAAACATGGGAAATGGGGGAAAACTCCAGGAAATGGGGAAAAGATGCTGGGAAATGGGGAAAAAACCCTGGGAAATGGGAAAAGAGCCCCGGAAAATGGGGAAAAAATCCCCTGGAAATGGAGATAGTATCCCAAGAAATGGGAAAAGGACCTGGGAAATGGGGGGAAAAATCCTGGGAAATAGGGAAAGAACCTTGGGAAAAGGGGAAAAACTCCAGAAAATGGGAAAAAAACCTGAGGAAGTGGGGAAGAAACTTGGGAAGTGCAGAGAGAGCCCTGAGAAATGGGAAAGGAGCCTGGGAAATGGGGAAAATCCCTCAGGTACTGGAAAAAGCCCCTCTGGGACAGGAGGAAATCCCCCTGGACTGGGAAAAGAACTCAAAAATGGGGGAAAAACCCCGGAAAATGGGGAAAAGCCCTCAGGTTCTGGAGCAGGACCCTCTGGGACAGGAAGGGACCCCCGGGAATGGGGACAGTCCCTCCGGGAAGCGGCTGAGGCACAGGGAGAGGGCTCTGGAGCACGGTGAGTAATCAGGGCAGGGCCGTGTGACACTGCCACTGTCACTGTCACCAGGGCACGGCCCGCCGGGACTGGGAAAATCCCTCAGGTACTGGAAAAAGCCCCCCTGGGACAGGAGGAAATCCCCCTGGACTGGGAAAAGAACTCAAAAATGGGGGAAAAACCCCGGAAAATGGGGAAAAGCCCTCAGGTTCTGGAGCAGGACCCTCTGGGACAGGAAGGGACCCCCGGGAATGGGGACAGTCCCTCCGGGAAGCGGCTGAGGCACAGGGAGAGGGCTCTGGAGCACGGTGAGTAATCAGGGCAGGGCCGTGTGACACTGCCACTGTCACTGTCACCAGGGCACGGCCCGCCGGGACTGCCACGGACAGCGGCGGGACACCGGGAATGGGACATGGGAATGGGACACCGGAGAGGGGATACCGCGAATGGGACATGGGAATGGGACACTGGGAGGGGATACTGGGAATGGGACATGGGAATGGGACACTGGGAGGGGATACTGGGAATGGGACATGGGAATGGGACACCGGGAATGGGACATGGGAATGGGACACCGGAGAGGGGATACCGGGAATGGGACACCGGGGATGCGACATTAGCATGGGACATTGGGGATGGGACACCGGGGAGGGGACACTGGGAATGGGACACTGGAATGGGACACCGGGAGGGGACATTAAGATGGGACACCGGGAATGGGACACCAAGGATTGGACACCGGGAATGGGACACTGGGATAGGACACCGGGATGGGACACCGGCATGGGAGCGGATCACGGCGCTGGGCCCAAACCCTTCCCGAGGGGTTTTAGGGTCATTTCGGGGCTGTGGAGGGGTCTGCAGGGATATTTAGGGGTGGTTAGGGTGGATTTAGGGGTGTGTTGAGTCATTTTAGGGGTGTTTCAGGGGACTTAGGGTTTTTTTTAGGGTTATTTCAGGGTTGTGGGAGGGTCTGGAGGGGTGTTTGGGGGATTTAGAGGTTTTGGGGGGTATTTTGGGCTTGTGGGGGGTGTCTGCAGGGGTATTTAGGGATGTTTTGGGGATATTTAGGGATGTTTTGGGGGCATATAGGGATGTTTGAGGACATTTTGGGGTGTTTGGAGGGGATTTAGGGGTGTTTAGGGGGCATTTAGGGGTGTTTAGGGGGCATTTAGGGGTGTTTAGGGGGCATTTAGGGGTGTTGAGGGGGGGATTTAGGTGTTTTTAGGGGCCTTTCAGGGTTGTGGGGGGTCTGCAGGGATATTTAGCAGGGATTTAGGGATGTTTTGGGAGAATTTAGGGGTGTTTTGGAAGGGATTTAGGGGTTTTTAGGGTCATTTTGGGGTTGTGGGGGGGCTGCAGGGATATTTAGCAGGGATTTAGGGATGTTTTGGGAGAATTTAGGGGTGTTTTGGGGCGTTTAGGGCTGTCTGGGGAGGATTTAGGGGTGTTTGGAGAACATTTAAGGGCGTTTGGAGCAGATTTAGGGGTTTTTAGGAGCATTTTGGGGTTGTGGGGGGGCTGCAGGGATATTTAGCAGGGATTTAGGGATGTTTTGGGAGAATTTAGGGGTGTTTTGGGGCGTTTAGGGCTGTCTGGGGAGGATTTAGGGGTGTTTGGAGAACATTTAAGGGCGTTTGGAGCAGATTTAGGGGTTTTTAGGGGCATTTCAGGGTTGTGGGGGGGTCTGCAGGGATATTTAGGGGTGTTTTGGGGCGTTTAGGGCTGTCTGGGGAGGATTTAGGGGTGTTTGGAGAACATTTAAGGGTGTTTGGAGCAGATTTAGGGGTTTTTAGGAGCATTTTGGGGTTGTGGAGGGGTCTGCAAGGATATTTAGGGGTGTTTTGAAGGCATTTAGGGGTGTCTGGGGAGGATTTAGGGATGTTTGGGGGGCATTTAGGGCTGTTTGTGATCCTTTTGGGATGTTTAGGGGGGATTTAGGGATGTTTGGGGTCCGTGTGAGGGGTCAGTGATGGGATGTTTGGGATTGGGAAGGTTTGATCCAGAGACAAAGCGGGAATGACTCAGCCCCGGGGCTAATTAACGCCTGGGCTAATTGGGGGGGCTCATTAAGAGTGGCAGGGCTGGATATTCCCAGTGCTGGCTCCAGGAAACGTTGGGATTTTCCAGCAGGGAATTCTGTGTGCTGGGAATTCCAGCAGAGCGCGACCCGCCCTCACTAGCACGATATAAATAATTAATTACCAAGGATTAATTAAGGCATGGAATGCAGGCAGAGCCGTTTACCTGTGTGAGTTGTGCTGGTCCCTCACTCCACGCTGCTCAGGGAATTCCAGAATTCCCAAATTCCCACCGGGAGGGACCTCCCCGGTTTCACGCAGCATTTTTGCCTTTTCCTCTTGGTTTCTCAAAATTCCAGCTCTGGATCAGGAATTGCTGGAATTTCTGGGGTCTGTGCTGGGTGTTTGTGACCTTGGAGCTTCTTTCCTTTCTCCCTGCATTCCCAAACCCGGAGCTGCCTGGTGGCTTTGGGAATAAACACAAGGATTTCATTATTTGCTGTATTTAAAGGGGAAAACGTGGAATTTTAAAGGATTCCAGGGAGCTCTCCATGCTGAGGTTCTGCTGATTCTCCAGAACCTCAAATCCCACCCAGGAGCTGCTAAATTCCAATTTTGGGTGGGTTTTCACACCCATTGCTGAGTTTTCCAGAGGAAAATTCCTAAAGAATGAAACCAGGGAAGGGTTCTGAGGATGGCAGGGATTGGGAACTGCTCTGGCTGGATTGTCCCCTCGGCGTGGGGCAGAGAGCTCTGCTCCAGGGGCTGGCTTTGGGGGGATTGGGGTTATTCATGGATTTGGGGGTTGGTTTTTTTGGGGGGGATTGGGTTTTTTTTTGAGGGAATGGGATTTTGATTAATTGGGTTTTTTTGGAGGGAATGGGGTTTTGATAGAATGGGGTTTTTGGAGGGAATGGGGTTTCTTTATGGATTGGGGTTTTTTTGGAGAGAATGAGGTTTTGATGGATTGGGGTTTTTGAGGAAATTGGATTTTTAGGAGGGATTGAGGTTTAGATTAATTGTTTTTGGGGTTTTTTTTTGAGGGAATGGGTTTTGATGAATTGGGGTTTTTTTGAGGGAATGGGGTTTTTGGAAGGAATGGGGTTTGGAGTGATTGGGTTTTTTTTTTAAGAAATG